AGAAAAAATAAGATTAATGATACTTCCCTCAATTTAGCACTCAACGTCTCAACTCGATTCGAAGTTTCCCACAGATGGCGCCACTTGACGATGCTCGAATTTTGCACCCTCAAGACCTTCTCTGAAACTATTTTGAGCATTGCCGAAGAATCCACCACCAGCCGGATCGGACAGCGGTGGCTAGATGTATAAAGAATAAAATAAAGTTTGTAGAGAAAAAGTAAAGAAATATATTATTGATGTATTAAAAACGTAACCCTAATGAGGGTTTTACATATGTTTATATAGGTGAATTAATATTCTAGACATTTTTCTATAATCAAGAGGCGTGTAATCAGCGAATTATCTCTAAATTACACGTTTCCTTATTACCTTATTCGATTTAATATCCTTTCCTTGTATAAGATATCTTCTTTCCTTCTTCTTCGAATCTTTCCATGCAGTTCGCGCCTTGTCATACGAGCTAAGGCCTAATTTGGGCCATCAATTAGTACAAACTCCTCCGGCCCAGCTCGTGTTTCCTCCTCTAGCATACTTCCTTGGGCCCAGCCCAAGCCTGCCAAAATGGGCCCCATCATCCCGTATCGCTGTTTTCGTGTCCGTGCTACATAGGGTATTATGTTAGTATATTTATCGCTTAAATCAACTAATTTGATTATTATACGCATTTTTAATTTTCTCATTAAATATTTTTAAGGTTTCTCATTATAAGAATTATAATTATAGTGACATGAGTATCAAGAAAAATAAGTTTATATAAATTTACAAAATAAAATCATTTCTATATTTTTTTATGTAAGATAAAACAAACTATTATACCGTTTGAGTTTTGATTATCTAAATCCTTATTAATATTTTTCTCAATCAATTTGTTATAAAATATTGTCAAAATTTCTATATCGAAATTCATAATGAGGGCTTTTCATTTTATGTAAGTACACAATTTTCATACACATGTTTCTGCATTTATAGAATTTAAAGAATAACTGAGTAATTTAAGTAAGGGCAAATTCAGTTTGCGGTGTATTGCATTTACACCCCTCAATTATGAAACGTACGAAAAATATCTTTACCTTTTGCAATCTGTTTGCATGCGCTTACATGACAAGTTGACTCAAAAGAAATTCTTGTTGCGATCGATTTTGAGAGCTTTCCATTTATATTGTTACAAATATACCCCTACATATAATTTGACGTTTATAGTATTGAAAGGGCATCTAAATAATCTAATTAGTATTTAATTTGAGATAATGAATTAAAAAACAATTCTATAATTCTTCAGGAAAAAAAGCACTTAACCCCCTATAACTTTTCAATTTTCGCATTCTACCCCTCCTAAAAAAAAAAGAAATAAACCCCTTTGGAATTTTGTTTATAGGGCACTTTGCCACAAAAGCAAAATTTTGGAGGGCAACAGGACAACAAAAATAACATTACGAAGGTGGATGCTCACTTTTTTGAAAATTGAGGGGGGTAAAGTGAGAATCCAGAATTTTTATAGGGGGTGAAGTACATTTTACCCATTTTTATAACAATTAATAGAGTAAATTGTGGAAAATCCCCTAAACTTAAGCAAAGTAACAAAAACCACCATCTATCCATAATTACCAAAACCCCCCTTTGACTAACTATGGACCAAGTTTTTAAATATAAAATGTGCAAAGCCCATTATACCCTTTGGTTAAATACATGAAAAATGAATGAAAAAGTCTGAAATATGTAAAGTCTCCATCGAGATCTCAAGCAAGGCCATGAAGTTTATGAACAACTTCATTAATGATATTTTTGAGAAATTGATGCAGGAGGTAGACTTGACATTTGTTTGCGAATATTTCCTGGAATGAAGAAGATTTAGTGAAAAGTCACACCATAGGGAGGTTTGTGTCAGACATATAAACAAACTTCAGGGGCATTTTGGTAATTACGAATAGGTGGGGGCGTTTTTTGTTATTTAGCCTAAACTCAGGGTTTTTGTTTTTTTTTTATTGTAATTTACCCATTAATATATTATTTAGGGTAAATTACACCCACACCCCTGAGGTATGCTTAAATAATTTGAAGGTCCCGATGATACGCCCCCACCTATTCGT